TTCCCACCACACCAGCATAACCTAGAAAAATATCCGAAGAATGATAACTACCTCGGACCTTTGAAGTGATGATTATCACTCTGCACAAAGCATGTCTGTTTTCACCTTTCTCAACATGCTCTGTGAGATGGTGCCCCATTATACCTCTGCAATCAGGCTGGCTATACGGTTGAATTGGGTTTCTAGAATGTGTAGCTGTCTGATTCTTAATAAAGAGATATTATAGAGAGTTTTCGCTTACGCACTGGACACTGCAGACTCAATAAACACTCACATAAATTAGGTATGAGCCAAACAGCTCTCTGCCGGTGCTTCGTGCTGAACAGACTCCAGAACATGTCCTGCAAGACTGTCCTCTCCTGGCGGAGCTGCGGAGCGACATATGGCAACACCCAGTAGAACTGACAACTAAGCTTTGGGGAAACCTAAGATACCTTGAAAAGACATCACAGTTTATGACCCACGGTGGATTATGCGCATGACCAGAGATCGCTGAAGAAGAAGAAGATTATAGAGAGGAAAAACTTGGGGGCGGGGGGGGGGGGGGGAACAATGTTTAAATTTTTAAGGAGACAATTTCAATGAGGGACAGTATTCAGTTCTCATCAGGTATCGCCTGACCTTGCTCGCCATTGGGTGATGGGCCACAATTTGAGACCATTCGGAACTATTTATGTGATGTCAATATCCTTTACTTCCAGAAAATTTTCTTGGGGACGTTTGACTTGAACAATCTGCGAAAAGAAGTAGCAATTTTTATTTTGTATTTTAAATCTCTTCCCGGAGAGGGATTCAAAATTAAAACACTTGCACTTGCAGGTACACTTTTTAGCCATTGTGCTGCAGTAGTTACCTACAAAAATAGGTTCACTTAATAATAAAACAATATTTATGTCTGTATATCCGTCTGTCTGTCTCGCTGGCTATCTGTCTCTCTTGATGTGTTTGTATAAATCAAACCTACTTGTAAAACTCTGACTTCAAATTCTGTCATCCTCTGAAACGAATCATTTCCTTCAGAGACATTGCTTGAGTTCTGTGAGGAATCGTTGAAATGAGAGTCCTCCATTACTGACTGTCCATGTGGTTTAGCCGCACTGCCTATAACAGTAAATAGACATACTTTTTTTCCAGTACCAAATAAAACATAAAGTATTGTTGTCTTCATATTCAAATCACGAAATCTTTTTAAGACATAACAAAGACGGCAGTAATTTTAAAAAAAAAAGTAAAAGACCCGTTTCCATGTCATCAGGCTGGGCATATAGGGTTACAATATATATTGTATAGACCAGTCAGCGCTTGATGAGTGATGTGGTCAGCATCATGTAGGCTGCATTGACTTCGTAGGTACCCATTTAAGGCTGGGTCGACCTGAGAATTAAGGTCATTTTTGAAAAAATTCCAGCACCATTCGGATTTACCCCAAGATCTTGGAATCCACAAGTGGGCGTCTAACTCCTACACCATGGCCAATGTCAAGGGGGCGCTACCACTGCTGTATTGTGGTACTCTAATGTTCAAGACAATATTTACCTATACATTTTTTTTCGAGCGCCTTTAAACAGGCTGACACGTTTCATTGTCGCTGCGATTTTTGTGCCTTTCGGTCTAACAAGTCTAATTTCAGAAAGTATTTATTTAGTTGCTTATTACGACATGCTTAAGAAACCGTAGGCCTATAATTTTTTCCCTTCACAAATTGGGTCCTGAAACCTACATGGAAAACTTAGCTATATTTAACGCTGCAGCTCATGTTTGTTTAATTCCACACATCTGTCGACATTAATCTTCTTCTTCTTCTTCTTTTTCTTTTTCGTTTTCTTCTTCTTCTTCTTCTTCTTCTTCTTCTTCTTCTTCTTCTTCTTCTTCTTCTTCTTCTTCTTCTTCTTCTTCTTCTTCTTCTTCTTCTTCTTCTTCTTCTTCCTCTTCTGCTGCTGCTACTGCATTTGCCCAAGGGCAGTTGGTGCTTTGAGTTGGGGTTTACAGCAAAGCTGCAATATCTGTGCTTTTCGGCAAATCCGATTTCGGCGAACCTTTGTACGACAGGCTTATAATTTGGGCAGGTGGTCTATTATGTTTTCAAAAAATAGGGCCCCAGAATAAACACAGGAACGTTTATACAAAAAGCTCAGTACTGATTGCATTTCAATTGTGACTTTGTTTTCTACCTTTCAAAAGGCCACTTTTGCTTTTTTTAATTTCTCCTTAGGGCAAGCAACATTTTTGTCCCATGATAATGCCAGTATAAATACCTCTGCAACAAGGGCTTGCCACAGTACCATGACCATAGTGTTCTCATGTTAGTAACTTTTTATCTCATCCTATCTCCAGTGACGTCTTTTCTCATTATTTAGATATTTCTTCTTATTTTTTTAAGAAATCTTTTCCGTTACTGTAACGAACTATTTGGGTTGCTAAAAATAAACCGCACCTTTCTCTTAAGACTTGGGATATACCTGTCAATTCTTGCTCTTCTATAATATTTAGATAACGATAATGATAAAATATTAAATAAAACTCTTTTCCCAAGCTTACTAACAGTTACGATCTGTAATATAAGCAGCAAGCAATTTAGTAGATTTATGGTGCGATAGTCATCATATTTCAAAGTGTCTGATTTCTTTGGCAGAGCAGTAAATATACATTTTAATTTTTTATTAGGAATACCCACTATTATAAATGTCATTTGACAAGTTTGTTATTATTTCAATTCTAAAATATCCCATAGCTTCAAGTTCTTCCAGTGTGATGTTTCTGGCCCGTCTTTCCTGTCATCATGTGATGCAAGGCATCCTCAACTAATATATGTATGCATGTATGTATGTATGTGTGTGTGTGTGTGTGTTTATATATATATATATATATATATATATATATATATATATATGTGTGTGTGTGTGTGTGTGTGTGTGTGTGTCCAGCTTCCATCGCATGTTCTAGAGTTTTTCTTCTCATGCTGAGGCAAAACAAATGACCATTGCTTTTGCCGATGTTTGTCATAAGCTGTCTGTTTTCCAGTCTTAGCCTCTTTCCGAACATTTTGGCTGTCCAAGAAATTTAAAGCATGCACCACTGAGACCACATCTTTGAGGCACCAGGAGATGTTTTTGATTGTTGACTCATAATCGAGGACACACAGTCTATGTTAAAACTGCAACAAGCAGTAATTCCCTTTTCTAAAATAGATTAAGTCAGACCTAAAGTCCCTGGGCCCAGATAGCATAATTTTTGCTGGCTTCCTGTCTCGATGTTAGATTATGAACAACACAATCAGTGTACAGAAATCCTGACCTCCTTAGGAAACCACCCACATAATGTATTTGTTAAACATGGTGAGCGTGCCAGATTTGCAGTGACACGTTGAGCATTTTGTTCACTACTGTTGCAAGCATAGACGCCACAGCCTATGTAGTCAGGTCCCTTAAGCTGCCCCCCCCCCCCCCTCCGAAATAATAAATATGTTAAGAGCGGTGAGCCCCCGAATCCCAACTCCTTCTAAGTTACGTTCAACCCCACTACAACCGCACAGGGGGCGATAAATACCCAGTGACAGAAAGTGTCACAATTCGGATGAACATCGCCGGGCCCAAGTCCCAGAAAACCCTTTCAACCTGTAGGTTATATTAAGGACCTGCGACGAAAGCAGAGTTGGGGCTTTTAAGGTAATTGCTTCCCATACTGGGATAGAAACCTGTCCTCATCTCTTTCAGACTATTTTTAGAATCCTAGTTCAAAGCATTTGTTCACATAGTTAATATTATTTTTTAAAAATAATATTATTATTAATTAATATTATTCTAATTATTTTATTATATTTTTGAGCTATTAAGCAATCATTTGTATTTTTTTTTTAATTTTTAAATGCGCACCAACACAAGGCTTGTCATTCTTGAGTCACATACATCTGAAAACTTAAAAGGGCTTGACCCCCCCCCCCCCCCTCCCCAACCGTTTAAAAAAATATTCTTTCTAATGTTTACTTCTTAACTCCCCGTCTGGTTGCAAGCTACTTAGCTAGCCTTTTCAAAATGCAAAAAGTATGTCATTTATGATATTATAACGTGTCAAAGCTGAAAAACTACCTTCGAGATGTTTACTGATAGCTTAGATTTAGATGTCTTAGATGTCTCTCTCTGTTTGTCCGTCCGTCTGTCTGTCTGTCTGTCTGTCTGTCTGTCTGTCTGTCTGTCTGTCTGTCTGTCTGTCTGTCTGTCTGTCTGTCTGTCTGTCTGTCTGTCTGTCTGTCTGTCTGTCTGTCTGTCTGTCTGTCTGTCTGTCTTTGCCTTTTTTTTTGGGGGGGGGGTGTCCGTATGACTTTATATATGTCTGTCTTTATCCCGGTGGGCATGTTTTTCTGTCTTCAGTCTTTTAGATATCTGTCTGTTCCCTCATTCGTTTGAATCATGCACCACTATCTCCAAAACATAATACAACTGACTATCTGTATTATTGATAACACGTTCCAGGTATTCTTTACGTAACTTTCTGACACGTAAAACAGTAAATCATATTTTGTTCTGTTTTAACTATCTGATACTTGTCTGCGTTACTTGGTCGACTTTGAATGAACCGATTAGCATTGTTAAGAGTAAAGTTCGGTCCTAACGTAGACTCTGCATATGTGATGTGATTCCTTTATGTTTCTCAAGCCATAACATGTGAAATGAGGTAGCCATTTCCTTTTTTCTCATTTCCTATCCTTTTTAAGCAGAGATCGGGCAAATTTGCAGCTTCTATAAAGTTTTCTGTGTATACGCTGTATCCTTTATGTTCTGTAAATATATATATTTACGTGTGTATGTGTGTGTATACATATATATATATACTATTTGGAAGCTGCGCAGATGTTGTTTTATAGACGATTGATGAGAATACCTTGGACAGAAACAAAGAGTAATGAAGACGTCTTAAAAGAAACTGACTCACGAAGAGAAATGATTGCCCACATCAGAAAGTAACAATCTACATTCTTTGGTCATGTGATGAGAAGGAGAAAACTAGAGTACACTATGACGGTAGGAAAGTTGGAGGGGAGAAGATAAATATAATATTTTTCTGCAAATGAAAATGAATAATATAATACATATTTACCTGTAGTTATAACCAAAGAACATGATTTACATGTTTCAAAGACAGTTTTAAAGTTTGCAAATGAATCCCAGGCTTAACAAGAGCAGTGAAGCGAGAAGTTGACTGCATTCACTTTTCCTAGACACGGGTATACCTTTTAAGTAGACATGGCTCTGTCAGTAATGTCTTTTTCTTCTTCTTCTTCTTCTTCTTCTTCTTCTTCTTCTTCTTCTTCTTCTTCTTCTTCTTCTTCTTCTTCTTCTTCTTCTTCTTCTTCTTCTTCCTCCTCCTCCTCTTCTTCTTCTTCTTTCTCCTCCTCTTCTTCTTTCTCCTCCTCCTTCTTCTTCTTCTTCTTCTTCTTCTTCTTCTTCTTCTTCTTCTTCTTCTTCTTCTTCTTTTTTCTTCATTTCTTTCTTTCTTTCTTTTATGTTGCTCTTTATCTCAAAGTCGATCATAGGTCCACAACATCTGGCATGAGTTGGTCAAGGGCGTTTGCTTCACTTAGGAGAAAAGGACAGAAAAATAAGCGGAAAGTAGCTGACTGGTTATGACTGTTCATTCATTGATAATTTGTCAATGACACCTCTTAGTTCTTCTAGAATAATACTGTTATATAATTTCCCAAAACTGATTATACAGTTATTTAATATTTACTAGAATGTTCACACTTCTGTGGGCTTCATTTTTTAACCTTTACCTGATAGTCTTCTGGCTGGTTTCTTGATACGTCTTTATATCTACCAGACTCGTACTGGCTTTACTATTACTTTCTGCTGGGATATCGTCTAGACCAGCAGATGTTAACTCTCATTCAGAAGTTCAATGACTTTCTAATTTCTTATTTAGATATTTTCTTACAGTTAACATCCATCCTCACTTCTGCAGACTCGATGGCTTTAACACCTTTGTCACTAGTCTATTCAGAGACTCCTCGAAGCACTGGGTCCTTCTGTTTATTATTATCAGAATAAATTTAATACAATAACTAGAATGTGTCTAGGGCTGTAAGTAACAACTTATAAAATTTTACCTTTGATTTCCCAAACATAAAATCGTTGATCACGTCATCTAAATATGATTTTGTTTTTTAGGCACCTGCAGAAGGTATGGCCTTGAGCTGTAGCTTAGCTAGTTTATACCTAAAGCCAGCACTGGCTTCTGGTACCCTCTGGGGGGGGGGGGGAAGGGGGGGGGGGAGAGAAAGAGAAATAGACCCACAGCCTCCCTAACAAACACGTCGTATAAAATTGCACTAACTAGGAGTGTTTCCTTCAAAAATGGAGTGCATCTGTCTCATACGAGAGGATGAGCCAGCACTCTGCAAACAAATAGGCTAGATCTATCAAATGAATGCGCAGGCAAATCTCAAGTTCTTTGAGAAGACTGTAGTCCAGAAGAGGATGAACAGCCGGAACTTTTCGCTGGTGGACGCGAAGGGCTAGAACTTTGTTGTTAAAGAATGTAATTTTTCATGAGCGGCTGGTTATTCAATTTCTATATTGTAATGGTTCTAGATATTATCCGTACTTTGTTCTCTCTTGTAAGGTCGTTGTTTCAGCTTAAAACTTCAACTTTAGATTCGCGATTGCAGGTGTTTTGAAGATACCAGTGAGCTGTAACTGGAGCTACGGAGTTTGTGCTTAGCACGATGATCTCGTCGAACGATGAGCTACTCCATAAAATATTTACATCTAAAGACAATATTGCTTCAAGTACTACAGAAGCACACAATTTGATCTAAAATGTTATTTAGTACATTAGTACATTTGCACTTGTCTGCGTCTGAGCCCCAGGCGTTGCCAACGCGCTTCGTAATGCCGGGGTACCGGGTTCTATCTCAGCTGCAGTCGATTTGACAGCAGGCCGACCTGAGTCGGTATTGATAGTGATACCAAGAACTGACAGTCCAGTAAAGCAAAACAAACCACTGGACCTAAAATTTACCTAGAAAACCCGCAACAGCCAAAAATACTTGGCGCTGGCTTTTTAGCGTCCTGTAAAAGATACGCAACTAACTTAAACATATGCACAGGGATAAACAAATGCGATAAGACCTCTGGGTGGCGCCTGAAATGTATAACCAACGAACTGAATGTTTAAGCTTTATCTTAGTTTCATGTATGGTTTGTTCTATCTATAATTGGGTAAGGAGTGAGAGAAAAAAGAGAAAGAAAGAAAGAAAGAAAGAGAGAGAGAGAGAGACAGAGAGAGAGAGAGAGAGAGAGAGAGAGAGAACATGTTGACGCCAAAGAAAGATGGGCTTACCCCGAAAGCAGCGCCTATCCCTAAACGACGGATTTAAAACAAATAATTCACCTCTACTCACTTGTCGACCCAGCCTAAAATGAGTAACAAGAAATGTCCTGGAGAGTCAATGCGACCTAAGTGATATTTACCACATCACGCAGTGATGCCTGTCTGTATTTTCTGTTAAGAACACACGCGTACAGAAATATTATGTAGACATTCATACACTATATAAAGAAAACACTGCACGAATAAAAGAAATGACCTTCTTACCCGGTTCGACACGGTACAGCTGCACTACAACTGTGTTGATAATTCAAGTATTCCCGAAGTTACGAGAACCTCCGTGGCCGCGTTATCGTGTAACTTTGTGCTTTATAAATACACTCAACAAACAAAGCTATTGGTCTGGCTGTGGTCTCATGGCGTTGCGTAACACTCCACTGTTTTAGCTAGTCTGTGTTCCTTGCAATAGTGATAGGCTCTCATAATGCAGTACCTTTTATTGAAAACATTAGATTTTAAAATTATATTTAATAGATCAGGGAGAGGAAAAACATGGACATTCTGAACGAGTTGAACATCAAGGAGAACTGGCTCATAAACAGCATCCTGTCCCGAAAGTTGAAGTATTTTGGTCACATCAAGCGTCATGGAGGCTTGGAAATGACGATGATGGAAGGTGCCGCTTGTGGAAGGCGAGGCAGGGGTCAACCACCGCGATGATGAATACAAGGCATTTAAGGTGCATTAGCATTAAAAGCACATGGGGCCGGAAAGCTGGCTATGGAGAGGAATACTTTCAGGGCGTGAAGAGAGCGACGTTCGGTAAAGGATTTGCTGATTGATGATGATTCAATAGAACACCGATCCTATGCAGATCAAGCAGTGGCTCTATGGCTCAAATGAAAATCAATAAAGATACTGATAGTTATTTCTTTTTCCTTGTAGCATTGACTGGCTGTAAACTCAGGTGCGAAAGTTCTGGTTGTTCGTCCACTCATGGACATTGTTCTTGGTCCAGAAACCTAGGTTTTCTTGCACATCCATTTTACATATCTGGCTTTTTTTTTCATACAGAGGACTCAATTTTCCGTTATTTTGAAGCCCCATCTTAGCTGTTGCTAGGAGCCGTAATATTACCTAACGGTTAAACGGGACTTCCGGGACCTCTCCACGGGTGATCCTCATCCGCATTGTGGCACTTTGTGGCACCGGGTGTTTATCGCTCGGTGGGGTACAACTTACTTACTGTTGATCTGAATCAGTAATCAACTCACAGGCAGATGCAGTCTGAAAGAATGTTGAATTAAGAATCAACATCACAGCACTTGGGACACTTTCCATAAGTGCTTAGTCCCCGTCTTCAGCAGCAAGCGAAGAGCTCCAAAATCGATGGTACCAGTAACCGTCTGATTTTAAAACAGTCTCATCCTTCCCCTAAGTGTTGAGCATCAGCCAGATCCCCTGGTAACTCCTCGCAGCACCATTCTCCTGAGACCGTAATGATCTATCTGCGCCTCCGCACTGTTTACTTGCTCCCAAAGTGCCCTCACAATGTTTAACTTGTCACACATCAATTCACCACCAAGAAGTGCAGAATCAGCCATTCTATCTGCCTGCTCATTTCTCAACACAACGGCAAATCCTTTCTCAACATGCTCTGTGAGTCAGTTATAATCACTGCATGTCTGTACAGCAGAAGGCAGCAGAGACTGCCTCCACCCCATTCTCAAACTAGACGTTGTGATATTTTTGACTTTAGAAGAAACACCCCTCCTATACCTTGCATGTAAGGCTGCAGTGGGTCTATTCTTTATTTTTTTTTTTAAATACCTTATAAAGTGCTTTTACGTATAGAAATGTTATTAATATGCTGAATTACAAATAAACCTAATATAATGCTAAAATAGCAGGAAATGAAAAAACAAAAACTTTTAAAGGGACAATTCTGCAGTCAAAAAGTGGATGAACAAACAAAACTTTCCGCCACCAGAGTTTACAGCTAGTGAACACGAATAAGAAGAAAAGGAAGAAGACTTCTAAAGAAAATTTACATGTGATTAGCTTGACCCTCTTAGTCGCTGATAAACTAGTAAGTGCCGAGGTGGGGGGGGGGAAATTAAAATCACACCCAGTTTTCTTATATATATATATATATATATAAACACACACACATATATATATATATATATATATATATATATACATATATATATATACACACACATACAAAGAGAGAGAGAGAGAGAGAGAGAGAGAGAGAGAGAGAGAGAGAGAGAGAGAGAGAGAGAGAGAGAGAGAGAGAGAGAGAGAGAAAACGGAACGAGAAGAAGGGGGCGGGAGTGTTGACTTAAAGTCACGTTTCTATTCTCGTGTACGATGAGAATTGACAATTTGGCCTCATTGACATTTTATATGCAGAAATCTTATTATCGTTATCAGAAATAAAGAAAACATTTTGTTAGATATATTTGTCGGTTTTAATAACAGAATATGTATTACATTAAAAAGTAAATGATACAAAATTTAAATAAACAGATTAGACATTACAGATTGCGAAATGAACGTAAATTGGCACCAATAGGCAGAAATCTGGCAACTCCAGACGCAGCAGAAGCGAACATTTTTGTTGTATACCCGCGGCCATTTTGGCGGATTCTTGAACGTTTCTCATTATATTGTTTTTCACTATTTACAGCTTCCTCCAGCAGTCATGTCGTCGCCTTTCCAAACTTTTGGAATGGTAAATGGCACATCATCACAAGTAAGTAATTGTAATACAGTGTGACTTATGGCATAGTAGGTTGTAGATAACGATTTTGTTGCTCAAAAAAAAAAAAAAATGTACGGTCGATAATGTATTCTTTATGATGAAGCAGGCCCTGCCGGCCGATAGCCTTCAGACCCCTTCCTAGTTTCCGTACCTGATATATCTAATCTAATGTTTATGTCCATCATTTCTCTGTTATTCTGTTTCAAGCGGCATACTGATCTGATGATCAATGATCAGATCACAACGTATACTACCAGCGTCGGCGTATCCATGCTTTTTTTACGTTTCATTCTTGTAAGGCGGTAAGGCATGGTAACCATAGGTTGTTTTTTCAATATCAGTTTTTACTTTTAAAACATAAAATCTGGATAAAGGTTGAAAAACAGAAGTCGAATGGTGCCTCAGTAAAGCCTCCCTGACTTGACTAACCGGCCGTATTTGTATTTAGTCATTTATTGTCTTCAAACGGCAACGCCTTCAGGCTTCAGTACCAGTACCTAGGTACTTCAGTCAAATTTTTAAAATGCCCTCTACACCAATAAAACCAGCACATTTAGATAGCTGTAAACAATCTCTTTCCAATGGTACCTCATTTAGGCTTGTATGTCATTTCTGAGCTGAGATATGTAGGTTTTTGTGTAGATGAGATGTAAGAAACAGCCGCTAAAACTTGTGACCCAAAAACAAGAAGTTTTTCACTGCGCAACCTACTGCGCAGTTCTGTATCGGCTTTGTTGACATTAGACTGTCATTGGACAAGATGGCAGGCAGTGAGACTCAGCCGCATGCGATTGCCTAAAAAATATCACTGTAAATCTAAACAGCGAAAGTCGGGAAAGAAATTTATTTATGCAAATGTAAAATTGGACGGAGAATTCAACTGTAACTAGCATTACCACAACTGGTAATGTTTAAGGCCTAAAGCCAACCTCGAATTTACCGCTATTTTCAATCAAACTGATGACTAACAGAAAAACAGAGGAGTCCGGCTGTCGTAGACATGCGCTGTTAATCGGGTTCCCCCACGCTGTTTCCAGCTATTTATAGCTGGTCCAAATTCCCACCAATCACGAATTTTCATGAGATTTGGACCCATCCGGAAACCAGCCGAGATTTCCCGAACAAGTTCTGAACGGTTTCTGGGTAACGGAAATTGCCGAAAAGATCGCAAATTGTCGAAACTGTAGTCCCTACAGTACCACCACTGGACCTGACCAGGCACTTTATTACGGCTCAGTTTAGTTACTCAGTATACTAGTACTAGTAGTTTTTAAATTTAAAATGCTATGCCTACTTTACTAACTACTTTTTCCCCCCTAGTAGGAGTCTAAGAAAGTGTTAAATAAGTAATAATTGAGAGTTAATTATCATTATTGTAAAACTAATTTGTTTACCATTTAGGGTCATGGAAAAACTACCTCATTGAAGTGTCAAGTCTACATCAGGCTAACTTTTAGTTTATCACACTATATGTTGTGTAAATTGAAAAACAAATGTAACTAACTGCGCTACTTAAAAATATTGGCTAAACATTCAAAAACTTGAAAATAATGAGAAACGAAAAAAGGGAAAATGACAAAATCGACTACTTAGCGATAATTGAGGCTTTTATATCTGAAAATAGTGGCACAGAAATTGCAAACAATGCCCGAAAATCTGCTCTTTTTTGGCTGTGGCAGCATTGAAACTTGGCTAAATATGATTGGTGCCGCATTAAATATGATCGGTGCAGTAAAAAAGTTTTCCTCACCGAGAGTATCTCCCGCTACGCGCGGGTGGGGGGGGGGCTAAACTAGATGGCTGGGACTCACGAGCAAATAAATTGGAGGAAGTCGCAGGAGATGTAGCAGCTGCTGCTCATGAGTCCCAGCCATCTTGTTTAGCCCCTAACCGCGGCGTGCGTAGCGTCACCGGGGAGATTAATCAGAAGAACACTATCGCTAACCTGCGTCAGAGCTTGTGGTCTCCCCGCCATGTATCTATTATCGTGTGTATTGTTGATTTCTCGAAATTGTCAATGGACAGTAATCCTAGTTTTGCTGCGATGTGTTTATCAGAGGAAGTCTGCAATTTACATGTGATTTAGGCCCTGTCAGGGTGTGTTTTCAGCCACCATAATATGTGGCCGTTATTTGGAGGATAGCTAAAATTTTCATTTATTTCATTATCCTGTTGTACCATTATTAGTCACATAGGGTTCACTGACTATTCATCCATTCTCGCTTAGAGGATTTGATTATTTACACAGATGGTTCAGTGTCAAGAGGCAAAAGAAGTACTTGGTTTCTTAGCAAAAGTTAATGGTCGATGTTTGGTGCAGGAGAGTCTAGCATATGATACCACAACATCCAGCTTAAGATTAAAAGTGGAGGCGGTCACTGCAGTTTTCAGCTGGTTAGAGAACATGACACACACACCCATCGTGATTGTAACCGAATCGGAAAGCGTGCTGAGGAAGGTCAGGACAGGAATGCTTTACGCAGAGTAGCATGCTTCACTGCTGAGGACATGGGTGAGGAGTATTGTCTGGATTTTTTTTTTTGCGGGATACTATAGGGTGTTGGGAAATAAACATGCAGACTTAACTAGCTGGCTCTGCCTACCTTGGTGGAATACTGATGCATGATAAGGCTGACTTGGTTAGTGCCTTATGGGAGAGCGCGTACAGTTCAGAGGAGCAGACGGATCACCAGTCTGATGAGATTGATGCAGCGGGGAGTGATGAGGGGTTCTGGCAGATGCTTAGAGGAACGGCAAGGCGGACGTTTAATCAGAATGCTACTGGCACCATTATTATCAAAACTGCACTGGCTGCTGAAAATGGGGATGGTGATTATTGGAATGCCCCAAGTTCTGCAATGTCAGTTCTTGAATCAACTCATCCATTCTGTTCTGTCTTCTGCAATCAGTTCAGTATGTGGATGGAATTCAGGCCAGCACCTGTGGCTTCTCTTGTGGGTGTTTGTTTTGGGTGTCTTTCCTTCCTGAATCCCTTTATTTACTATTTTGGTTTACTAGTCATTCTAAAAAGTTGCAGATTTGTTAACAGCAGTGCTGTTAGAGGGGCTACTGGTAAACAAGGCTGTGTAGCAGTGTTGTAAGGAAGGGGGGTGGGGGGTAAGAATTTTTAGGTGGGGCATGGCACAAGAAAGGTTAGAAAGCCCTGTCTTATAGCAAGTCGTGGGATATTTATAGTGCTGTACTTGGACTGGAGGCACAGGGTTTTATGCTTCTCTGAGTGAGGATTAAATTACTAATGATATTTTACTGCTCTTAGAATTTTGCCACCCTGAACACAGTTCCAGAAGTGGACGAACAAGCAGAACTTTCTCTCAGAGTTTACAGCTGGTGAACACTAAAAAAAAGATTCTGTGGTGACCCCCTATCTGCGCCATTTGTCTGCCCCTGTTAATAGTTTGTTGCTTACCTAAGAAAATCGGGCCCATACAGTTGTTATATTTAAAAAAAATACAAGTCTCTTGGCTTTGTTTTTCATTAGCTGAGAACGTAATTAGAGATAATAAAGATAACAGTCAAAATTAACATTCATTACAATGTGAACATAAAGGTTAAACAGTGGAAAAGGAAGTAAATATTTAAAACTGACATTTGTTCCATTCTCTCATCTCGCTTTAATGAAGTTAAGTAGAGTAAACTATGTGCACATATCTACTAATTACTTTTGTTATAAGCGTTATATTTATCAATTTTGTCTTACATTGCAGAGCCCTGATCGTGGCATTGATTACAAGCGAATAAAACTGGAAAACGGTAAGCTTTTTTAAAGCTTATTAACCAAGGGGTTATAGTAGTCATTTTGTTTGCCTTTAGGATTTAAAAAAAAAGAGTAATTTCGGTGAAATGAAATCCTTTGTGTCCATTTTTTGGCTAAATTTGTCTACATTAGAATTCATTGCAGCATACAAAATGATTGCTATACTCACATTACTACTGGATTTTTTTTTTTTTTTTTTTTTTTTTTTTTTTTTAAATGATTGTCCATTGTATCATATTTGGTATATTATTGTAAACGAAAAGTTAAAACAGTCACTTTTAAAATAAATGCATTGTGAATATAGTAATTTAAATAGGTTGACTATTGTGTTGGATATATAGGTACAGTTACTACCAGAAACCACATCTAAGTTTTTCCTCTTTGCATTTTCTGAGTATTCTGCAGGGCTGTGAAAAGTGGATGTCTTTGTTGCCTCCACCAGTGTTCTGATGATGGACTGGGTGTTGATTGATCATAGCCGTGTTATTTACAATAAACTTATGCATTTTGCAAGTTACTTTCTATGTGTTTGTGAACTTTGCATGTTTTTCATATTTAATGTAGATTAATTTCCTGTCACACTTTTTTTGTTTACTAAATGAGACAATATCGTTGCTAAGGTATGGCCAGAACAACATGTTAAAAATGTGATCGCTCAAGTCTTCTTCTTCGCGTTCACTAGCTGTAAACTCTGGCGGAAAGTTCTGGTTGTTTATCCACTGCTGGACTGCAGTCCTGTTCAGGAACCTGAGTGTTGCGTGTGCATCCGATTTACAGATCTGACTCATTCGTATGCAGACTGCTGGTTCCTTGCCTCTCAGGCAGATGCACTCCGACTTCGAAGGAAGCTCCCAATTAGTCGACTCTTACGACATGCTTTTGGGTAGGCAGTGGGTCTATTCTTGTTTTCCCTCTAATAGGGCCCCGGAACCCACACAGGGGACCGCTCAAGTCAAAGTGTCAACCCCTGAAATGATACACATTTTACAAAAGTATGTGTATGTTGTTATGGTAGTCATCAGCTCATAAATACATACATGTATTAAATGGCTAATACTAATGGTGTTGACAATTTTCCTGCACTTTCAGCTGCGAGTCAGTAAAATGTTTTTTTTTGTCAAGGGCTATTTAGATTTTAGTTTAACTGAAGACAAAAAAAATTTCAAGTTTTTTTCATATGGTCTCTGGTTTTTTACTGGTATTCTTGTGATATGTTTTTAATATAGCAGCATATGCTGCTTTGTCATTGGTGGTTCCATTAGCAGTTTTTGCGTATTTGTCTTATATCTGTGTAAAAATTATGTACACACTGCAAAAAAGTTTAAATTGTCGAAGACAGTAGTAAACCTGAGAACAACTTGTGTACATATATACATACACTTATTGTTATTCACATTTTTTATCTGGAACAATCTGTGATCATGGCTTTTACTTGTTTTAATATTTTTTTTTTGCACTAGCTGTGTAAGCCTTTCTGATCTCTTAACATTTCCCCCCTCTATTACTGTTTATTTTTCTTTGTGGTGTTAATTTCTCAATTATATCTCTGCATTTGATATGCATGCCTCATAAAATGTTTTTTTTTTAACTGTGTTTGGGAATATGATCACGTGGCACCTGAGAATTTTGTATTCCGCACCCAGTATTCTCTGAAAATTCTTTCAAAACTATCTTGTCATCAAATGCCACCTCCCATCCCTTACAAATTGTTTAATCATTTCAGTACTCATTGTCTAGCATTCACATCCATACTGCTACACACAGCTTTAAGTTAACGGCCTTTTGTACTTCTGATGTTTATGTTTGATTACATGGCACATCCATATTGCTTGTATCCTTATAGAAGAATCTTTGTATATGGTGATTGATTTCATTCACATCTTCTCTCAGTTGTCGCCATTAAGCATACTAATAATAAATATTCACCCATGTTTTACCAGAACCCATAAAAATATCCACGGCATACTGTTACACTTCTTGGATGTCGTAAGTCTTATCCTGAGACCAGCTCCAGTCTCTTGCAAATGGCATCTTCATAGTCTCTAAAGGGCTGGTCTGATTTTGGGTTGTGCATAGGTAGAAGTGAGGTGAAAGAAGAATACTTGGTGTAGAAGATTTTTTTTACATATTTGATCTTTAGCCATGTTCACTGACTTTAAAAAAAAAAATAACAGTGACTGTATTTTGTTAGTTTTCTAAAATAAATCCTTAGAAAAACAATAATTTAGCCCAGTTCCGGAGATGGATACATGACATTTTAGACACATTGGCATTGAAAGCACATGGGGCTGGAGAGCTGGCTAGAGAAAGGGATACTTTCAGGCGTGCCGTGAAGAGAGCGACGTTCTGTAAAGGACTTGCTGTCTGATGATGATTAATTTACTGTCTTATTAAAAATTTGCAGACAAAATCTGCGGAGGATGGCCAAACTGGAAGTGTTGGTTTTGGGGTCAAGAATTTAAGTTTTCAAGCAGTTTATAAAGATCTGTGATTGTATAATGCACATATTGTTTTAGCCACTTTTGTTTTTGGCTGTACGAAACCTTTGATCAAGTTAGCTGTTGCTATAATTTCTTACTAGATCTGCTATTTTCTATGTTATCAAAGACAGTAACAGTCACCTTTGGGTCTTTGACATTTCCTTAGCTTGTCCTAAAAATGGCTTGTTTAGGCAAGAATAAGTTTATAGGTTTTGGTGGACACTTGCAGTAAGGTTTAGCTGTCATTTGACAGTTTTAGGTAATTGATGTGTTTTGTCTTCCTGCCTGCTTTCTTAGTTTAGTAACCTCTTAATTTTTAGGTATGTTGCGTAATGTGCACGGACTAGAATTTTATAAGCTTAGAATAAGTCAAAACTGATCATGACTCTTTCTTACTTTTGGGTTTATTAAAAGATGTTTTAGCCATTTTTTTGCTGAAAGAACCAATCATATTTACTGTACAAAATGACTAAATAATATTATCTCCTTCAGTTCTGCAGTAACTGATATGATCGGGTTTATGCACCCAAAATGGTTGTGTTCATTATCCTTGAAATAACCAGGCAGAGATTTAAAAAATGTAAAATATTACAGTTCACATATTTGTATAAATTGTGTTTACCCTTTTACCCAGAGAAGCTAAAAAAAAAAAAAAAACCCCGGTTCGGTCCTATTCCCTGTAAATTTTATTTTTCTAACTTGCCTTTGGTGGCCTGTTTATGACATGTATAGTTAATGCTACTGGCTGAGTCTGTGCCTGCACAAAGGTTTAATGAATACATTAACTTACAATAGCTTTTAGGGGCTTTCACTTTGTTTGATTTTTTAAAGCCATGTTGATGTCAGATTTTCTCAGTTGTCACTGCATTAGTCGCCTGATACATTTGTGTTGTTTAGACCGCAGAGGATGTATTTCATTTAATGTTTCACCCAGTTCATGTTTGATTTATCATCGTTTTCTACTTCTCTCGTGGCGAGGAATAGTTTGTGATCCGTTGATTGATTGATTGACGGGAATTGATGTAGAACCTCTTAAATGTTAAAAATCCATATTATCCTTGGTCGACCTCTTGCTTCTGCATCAGATCTTTTCTTGTATAGTACCTGCATTGGTGGTTTTTCTGGCTGCATTTTTTACTATATGACCACTGTTTCCTAATAAATTTGCCGCATAGTGTTGTTCGCACACTTTGTCTAATAATATCATTTCTAACTTGGTCTTGAATCGTTAAATTGGTGGATTTTCTCAGGCATCTTATAATTTTACATACGGGAGCCTTTGATAGTGTCAAAGTCTGGCACTGGTAGCACAGTGTTGGTATAAAAATGCTGTTTATAATCTTAGCGCTTATACTTATATTTTGATTTTTTTATAACGGATCAGTTAGTATAGAAGTGCACTGGCTCTTGGGCATATTTTTACTTTTTACCGATCTATTCTGCCGTCCTCTAAAAACATACTTCCTAGATATTTAAATTCTTGAACTTGCTACCATTCAACCCTATCTGTAGTGGACTAAGAATTCACCTGACTTGCATTACTTCACTTTTAGACATATTTACTCTTATCTTTTGCATGTTGAACTTGGCCTGTTAACATGGTTTTTATCCTAATCCCCTCATTCTAGAACAGGCACTAATCTGCTGCAATAGTAGGTTTATTTATTACTCCTTTTGTAAATTTTGTGAAAAATTGTTTTAAAATGTCAGGAATCCTAACAGAGTCATGACCTTTTTTTTTTTTTTTAAAAAGTTCCAGGGCGACAGAGTTGATTAGCATACTGATTGGTTTAGGTAGTAAAGAGAAGTTTACACACTTGTTTTACCTTTCCAATACTGAAGCACATGTATTACTTTTCTGATGCTTTGTACTTTCAGTCTGAGATATGGTTCAGAAACTGCAGGTGATTACAGGTAGATGGAATCTGATAATGGCAACATCTTTCTAAAAGGAAAATAAGCTTTTTAGTGTAATTTCACTGTTATAGGAAGAAAATATATCAGATCTGGGCTATCCTCCAGCTAATGGTCGCTAAAGATGGCGGCCGCAAAATATCCTTTCGAGCCACAGTCACGTGTCAATTGTCAGGCGACCACCGCCAGGTGTCCCCCACGCCGCTCATGCGGCGTGGAATGGGGCTAAACTAGATGGCTAGGACCCACGAGCAGCAGCCGCGGTGTGCTCGTGACTGCTAGTGCGCAATTGACACGTGACTGTGGCTCGAAAGGATATTTTCCAGCCGCCATCTTTACCGACTGTAGTCGGAGGATAGCCCAGATCTGTCACTGCTACACCCACAACTATCTGCATTATGTAGTTTCTTAAATATGAATCAGGTAATCATGCTTTGAGACAATCATTTTATGGAAGGGCTGTCTGCGGAACATTTGAACAACTTAATACATTGAGAATGTTGGAGGCAGGACTGCCTAGGGGGAAATAGATTAGTTGGCAAAGTAGCAGTGAAAACGGTGAGCTGTTTAGCTACTGCAAAATATTTAAATATTAAGCTGTGTACGTAAAAATAAAATTACGATTCACTTTTCTCTTCTACCAGTCATTTTGTCTATGACATGAGATTAACTTTAAATCTAGTCTTCAGAGTTTAATTATAACTGATTTCGCTCATTTATTGGTACCCTCAAAGTTTGTTGCCTCTTTGAAATTTCTCTAGCATGGTTCGATGGTTACACTAAAGAAATGTTTACACAAGTGTACTTTCATAATTTTCAGCATCAACAAAAAAAATAAAAGCAGAAGTGGGTCCAAACATGTGTTAAAAAGTGATAATTAAGTTTTGTAAAGGTAGAAGAGTTCCTGAAACACTGGTTCAAAAGTCCAAGGTTTGTTGTATTGGAGTAAAATAAACTAACTTGCACCACGTTGCCCACCAAGTTTTGATCGGTTGGTAAAATATGAGGCTGGCTGCATAAACCCATTATGTCTCGCGGAGTGAAAGTAAAAGCCCTTTAAAACCTCTAATATGTGTTGTGGTTGTCAGAGTAAGTTGCCTTGAAACCAGTCAACTCAGTCTGCTCACTGTGTACGTTTATGCGTAAAAAAAATGGATATTGCAACTGGTGCTCTGTACAAACAATCACAAGGGGTAGACTAAATTGTGGCTGGAAAGTTTTCAGCATGGTGGCACAGCCACATGTAAACTCAACAACAAAACAACTGCTGAACTTTAAATGATGGGGGGGGGGGGGGGGGGGGGGTTAATTTCAGTGTGCACACAAAATTATAAAAGTTAAATGACAAGAGGAGCGCTGAATAAGACTTTAAGAATAGGTACAGCTTGATACATTTTTATTCAAGAAAATCCTAGTTTGTAATGTATATTTTAATACATAGGGATTATGGACAAGTTTACTGACTATGTGCCTCATTGTCTGTTATGTCAAATATTGCGGTTCAGTGTGAAGCTGTGGTCTTTTTCTTTTTTCTATGTACTTTCAGCCAAGGCATTTGATCAGAAAAGATGGGTGACCTGTCACTTTGTGCACTTGGAGATTAGTAAATGAGAACGCTCAGCCACAGCCGGGTCTTCCGTTTCCAAGTCATTTAACTTAACTTGGAATTCACACAGCAGAAATGTTAACTTGTGTTCACGATGGACACTCATCCCATTTGACTTCCATCATATGTCTATTTTCATTAGTTAATGCTAGGCATAAAACCGTTTAAAATTAAATATGCTTTGAATTTTATAGCTGTATATATAGATGTATAGTAATTATTTTACTCGCCTGTTTATAATCTGTCCTCTTTTCACTTGAGTATAATTTATAGTTTTGTTATGTGACTTTAATATAATTGTATGCTCACATACAAACTGATTTTTAAAAAAACGTCCTTTCAAGGAAATCAGACCTGGGACTTTAAAATAGAGACATCAGACCATCAGTATTACTATAAGCAGAAGTGAATGATAATAATTGAAAAAATATAGTCAGGGGCAAGATGAAAGAAACTAGAGTCGTCTTAAATTGGGAAAAGGGGAGGGGGGAATCCCTGTTCTGATTTTCTGGATTCAAGAAAACATATGTTTTGTTATAAATGCATACATGCGAAGGTTATATGAGGATTGTGAGAACATAGACATGCAATAATATATTGTAAACAGATTATTGCTTACCCAACTATAAAATGTAGCGCAGTGCAGACCAGGGGTCCAAGAAATAGTTCTTAAAAAATGCCTCTATCTAGGTAATAGTTAAAGTATATATAAAATAATGAATAAGTCTTGAATATGACATTTGCATGACACAGAAAAGTCCTCATCCACATAGAACTGTAGGCTTGTGTAACTGTTGCGGATGCTCTAATTATAACTTCTTTGGCGGTTAATCTGGGATATGCCTAATGGTCTGCCATCTAGAATGAGATTTCATTAAATCTCAGGATGTTATGGTAAATTTTTGGGTAGCATTCCGGAGGGGACAATCTGCTCGATCAATCGACACAGAAAATGTGTAAATCTTGAAAAGTAATAATTTAGATAGGAAATTACTCAGATTCTGACACAGACGAATCAGGAATCCCCCCCACGTCGAATTTTTTTAAGGTATTTGAAAAGTTTGCCTCAAGCTGGTCATATTATGTAGTTAGAACGCGTTTAATCATCGGCATATCCGCTCAGCCAGACATTTATTACAAAGACAATGAAGACAGATTGCTGGATATACACTAATTGTTCTTCACAACAGAAATTTGCTATATCTAAGATAGCCTTGAGCTGTCTACATGGTAGCTATAAATATGTGATGCCTTAGTTCCAGTACACAAATTAATGCAGGCACTTAAATAATAATTGGGCTAGCCTGAAAGGGGCTGAGGATCTCAGGTATATAAAGTGTACAGCGATCAAAAATATTTGAATATGGGCTGAATCTACTTTAATAATTTGAGTCAGGAATGCCTTTAGCCCTGTGAATGCTAAAAATTGGCCACAAACCTGTGAGAATTCCCCCCAAAAATCTTTAAAAATGTTTCACACAGGTCACTAGTCAGGGTGAGATAGTGTAGAAGAGAAAATGTAAACATTTCAGTAGTGTCAAGAATAGTCAAGTTTACTTTTAACTGAATGGAATTTTCTTTCAGGTCAGTACCACATAATGCATTTTACTTCTTTTTCAGTTGTTGGCACATACCATGCCACGGTGATAGTCTGTGGTCAAGGGCAGTAGTTGATTGAATGTCTCAGGCACATGTTGTGTTCAGTTATCTGCTAAGATTGTTTGCGTAATCCACCCCATTTTTATTATGTCCGTTTAAAAAATATTTTTTTTGGGGGTTTAATAATGCAGTTGAAGTCTCAGAACAGTTAGTTTTTATGTTTCCGCTACAAAGCAAATAATCAGCATAGTTTTAATTTGTTCATGCAATTGCTAGTTTAAACGTGTGTTCCACTAAGGTGTGCGAGAAATGAAGGAATCGAAAGCAGGTTTGTATCCTTAAGTAGTGGAAGAATAATAACGGTTTCTATACTGTGGCTATCATCTGAAGGATTCCATGTGTTGCTGAAAACTGCATTTGTAATGTTGTGTTTTCTCTTCTTTTTTTCTGTGTGTTTCATACAGTATTAAGAGAAGTCCATTTTGCATTCTACAATACCACAAACAAGCTTTTTGTATGGGAAGCACACGTCTGCGACATCCGCCTTAACTCAATGTAAAGATTGTGCGGCGGAAATGCACCTCAGCATGGGGTAAACATTAACATTTTGCTGTCCGAACATATTTGGATCATTATTGCTGATTGTTAAAAGCAGATTTTCTACATATAGAAAGCAAAGCCACTCTAAACTGAAGTCTGGATACAATTTTGTTAAATGCTAAATTCAGCCTGATCTGTAAGTCTTATCTGTGTGCACATTTGCAGCTTTTCTCATTGAGTTTAATGTAGCACATTACAGTTCCTGCATTTTTGCTCCACTTACTGGCTCATTAAAAATTAAAGTTATAGCTTTATGTCATTCAGACTGTCACTAGCCTGTATAAAAGTATACTTTTGTTAATCTTGTTTGTCAGTTGTTTCCCCTTCACATGAAACAATAACATCATGTAAATGCCATCGCCTCATAATGGATTGTTTGTTTCAGGATCAGGGGACTCGCAGGAGCCGTTTTTCCCACAGTCGGAACAGAGCGGGCCATTGTTAGAAGGCCCTGGGGCCAAGCGAGATGTAAAACCCTTCACCCCACCAAAGCTTACCTCTTCACAACAAGATGACATACAGAGAGCCAAGAAATATGCCATGGAGCAAAGCATTAAGAGTGTGCTAGTGCGACAAACAATAGCCCACCAGCAACAGGTACATTTTGTTTCACATGAATGGTAATATACTATAGGATTATGAGTTTCTGTGAATTCGGGGTTAAGGAGATTGTTTTACATACAAGTCCACCTCTCATCATGCCAGGCTACGATTTTTCTGACGGGCAGTTCAGAAAATACTTTTTTGGCTTTCAGGTAGTAGTATGAGAGTCTTACCAAGGAAGTGATTTGGACCTCACCTAGTAATATTCCCCAAGACAATATTGGATGCACTGCAGCCACCATCCATTGTGGAGACAAAACACCCACGTACACACACAGATATTAACTCTTTCATTACTGAGCAACTCACCCTGGGATTGTTGAAATTATCTAGCATCTATGCTAGATTTTTCTGAGCAACTTTTACCCTTTCAGTTATGGTTTTATCTGATTCTGTCCAAATTGTTACTTCTGTTCCTTTTGTCCCATTGTGTTATTATTTTAACCTTTTCAGGCCCATACACTATTCTTCTAAATAGCTACTGCTTAAAAATTTGGGAGTTAAAAGATGAGTGATAGTTGGTTTATTGGATATTTCACTAGTTTCTGGGTTAGGGAGATTTTTATTTTACTCAATAGGTATGGGCAACTGTTGTAGAGCAGTAGCCTGTCTGTCTGTCCATTGGTCGTAGGTTTTTAATCTTTATTGAGACAGATTTTAAAAGTGTTGACTTTAGATCAAATCAGCTTAAAACTGGGTACCAGGAAATGCTGTAGGAAATAAAGGCGGCTATTATGGCTATGCCTACTGAGTTTTGATTGATCTATACATAATTTAAAGCCAGCATCATGTACCCAGCAGGGCTTCAAGATGTTGGAAGAGTTCCAGTGCTCGCTTGGTGACACCCAGCCCAGGTGTTTGCACACCATAAGTTATTCAAGTGAGAGGATTCAAAACCTGAATGGCCAGTTGCAAAATGTTATTAAATATGTATCAGTACACAGTAATCAGTGTTTGCATGTTAATGAAAGTGCAGGCATACTAAAGCAAATAGCAGCGGTACCTCTATCACACCTATGAAAAGGTGTCTGACAACTTGTGAGCTTGTCGATTGAACCCCTGTATACCCAATGCATTTTCCCAGGAATAAATGAAATGACATCACTAGAAGAATTCATCACCTTAGGGCAGAAGATGGTATTGGCAGACAAAGAGCTACAGAGATGGTCAGAGGATCATTTTTGCAAATGGAATAGTGAACAGAGGGAGAAGTGTCTACTGACCAGAGAAGCAGAGGAGTTAAAAATGGTGGAACTGACTGCTAAAAAGGAGTCAAATTTAACCCCACTAGCATTTGAAAGGTTAACAAATTCTGGCTGAATTAGCGATGAGAGAAAAGGAAGTGGCATTGCGGGTTTAAAGTAAAGGAAATTTACCTAAAAGAATAGACATAAATTGGTTTCCGACAGGCTAAAGGATTCTGAAAATAAGATGAAGCGGTATCAGGGCATCGCTCAGAAGTTCACTAAGGGTGATTTAGTCTCAGCAGGAATCTCTGACTTTAAGATTATGATGAAAGACTATTCTGTTCCTAAGGAGGAATGGCACATACACTTTGACAGGCATCTAGAACTGGAACCCTTTACAATTGTAGAAATTATACCAGAAGAACTCCGTACAGACTATGAATATGTGAGAGATCGAGTACTAGCACATTTCAGTCTTGATGAGGAAGGGTACAGAACACTTTTTAAAACGCACCAAAAAGCAACCAGATGTTCGTGGGCTATGTCGCAGAGGTGCTGAGTACTCTAGATAAATGGCTGAAAGCTGCAACAGTCCAAGACTCCTTCCATTTATTGAAGGATTTGCTAGTGCGTGAAAAACTTTTAGCCTCAATTCCTGCTAGTATGTCGATGTTCTTACAAGAGAATAGATGCACATCAGTAGGCGACATAGAGAAAATGGGAGAAGCATTCTTTTAGGCCCCTAAGGAGGTCTTTGCGACCTGCCCCCAACCCCATCTAGCTTTTATTGCAGCTGCGAAATATTCTCGAGAGAAGTCCTTATAGCTATCAGAACGATGATAGCACAAATCAGAGGAAACCACAACACCTAATAGCAAAGTATGGATCTGTAATAAGAAATTCACACTGTAGACACACCAATGGTAGCTTAGATATGTGTGACAAAAATCCAAATTGCATATCTATGAGATTGTGTCCAAAAATAACAATCTGGGGTCACAATGTATGCCACACCTACGGTGCTTCAAATGTGGTCATTCATATACTTAGGGACTGTTATGCGAGAAGTATACTTAATATGGCCCTGAAATCATCAAGCAGTGAATCAGAAGAAGACCTAATAGCCAACTCCATCCAAGAGATTGCCGAAATATGGATCGAAAACTGAATGATATGCAAAGAATTCCATGAAGGGAATCTTACTTGTGAAGACATTGTGCTGATTCAGGAAGAACACTTGGCTAGCAGTATCGGTGGATTCTTGCACTACTTCAGGGGATTTGCCAACAGTATACCTTGTACAGTAGTTTAGGATACAGGTGCTACACTAATTGGTGTACACAGAGCATAAGTCCAAGAGAAAGACTGCACAGGAGAGCCCATTGTGTGCAGAACTTTTGGAATCAATAAGAAAATATATAAGATAGCTGTTGTAAAAATAAATTGCCCTTTTTACACTAGCATAACAAAGGCAGGCATACTCATTGGTAATGTACTGAATGTAAATACTGGTAATGAGCTAGCAATCAAGAATTAGGAGAAACTGTTTCCAGATGTCAATGCTGTTAGAAGACTGCAAACTCAACAAGGAGAAGATAAAGCACAGACAGATCTGATTCAATCCATCAGCGTCCCTAACATTGTAAGTAACCCAAGTATGTGATCGGCCCACATTTTCAGAGCTTTAGAGGATGGACCCAGCATTAAAGAAATGTTTCAACCTCGGAAAAAAAAAGCCAAGAATTTCAAAATCTGGTAGATGGTCGTTAACACTGAAAAAAATATATCTTGACAAGGGTGTATAAGAACGGAACAATGACAGTATCACAAATGGTGCTGCCAGAACAGTTTCGTAGAAAAGTACTAGAAATGGCACATGGGAACAGCTAAAACAAAATCAAGAATCCTTGGACAGTTCTACTGGCCTGGTTACAACAAGGACAAAAAAAGCCACAGAAATGGAAAACCCATAGACTTAGCATCAGACATTAGAGATAAATGATTAAATTTAAAAAAGTTTGAATGACTGCCAGTTGAATACATATAGTTGAATTAAAGGCAATAATACTCTTGATAATACTTACAGTAATAAATTCATAAACATTCTCTTGTCTAAAAACCACACTATTTTAGGAATTGAACCCCCCCCCCCCCCCCCCCCCCCCTTTTTTTTTTTTTTCCCTTTCTTTTCCCAAATCCTATCCCCTTAGCTTCAAATGTTCCTAGGGGAAATACCTGCGGTTGAATTGGCAGTACCAGTTATCCCCTCCCTATTTACTGATTAGTATCATTACCACACAGCAAAAATATATACGTTTTATAGGCACCACATTAAACGTCATCGCTGATTATGTGAGGGGTATTATTAGGTAGCACATGATCATGATGGGGCTAAAAAAGCCTGAAGAGTAAAGACATACTGTCTAGAGACATACAGTAGACCACAAACAGGCAGGGTAACTAGCTTGGATAAAGGGGCAAAGGACATAGGCGATTGAGAAAACAACCTTCAACCAAGGGGTGTTATGCAGTACAAGGAATAGCCTGGGTTAGCATAGAAAATTGTTTGGGACCTCTGTAAGGATGTATGGTAGTATAGACCAAACACCGTAATGATATGATACATATGCAAGATGACCAGATAATCTATCTGGAGATTTGAAAACTGTAAGTACCAAAAGAATGTAACACTAGGCGCAATAATAAACCATAAACAGAAATGATGCATAATATCATTTTGAAAAGCAGAAGTTAAACCGTCATGAGTCAACTTAACCATTCACTGCTGTGAGAGACAGACAGACCACGATTATACTATGTCTCATAACAGCCGACAGGTCAATTACTGGTCAGACGGGTTCTGTAGACAAGATGTGCAAGGCTTATACTGGTAACTGAGTGTTATGGGTGAGGGGGGGGGGGGGTGACAAGGGGACTTGACAAATGGGTAGAGCAATACATGGCAGTTAGTAGTTTGACAGTCCGGTGAAGGGATGTTTCTGTTTGGTACCCCTGAAATTGGGGAATTGTTTTTGTTTGGCATGGACTGGATTTAAAGCTGTGGAGAGGACAGTAGTAGTTGTTCATAATTATGACAAGTGTTTCTTTTGTGTTGCCGGGATGATAAAGTTAGTTGTGGTAGCCAGGATGATAAGTAATTATTGCTCTAGATGCATCCACTAGCCTCTCATGATTTTGTTCATATTGCTAGTATGATCTGTTAACAGCTATACCCACGTGCTGTTGATATACTAAGCCATTGACTACCTGGGATTAGTGTGCTTGTGAGCTATAAGAATAAATAGGTGGCTACTCATTAGTCGATAACATTGTGTGGAAGCCAGACTAACTTTGCAGTTATTTTTAGTACTTATTAAACATTCTTTGAGAACTAGAAACATGGTAATTAGTGTTTACATGTTAACGAAAGTGTAGGCATTCTAACACAGATAACAATGGTACCTCTATCACACCTATAAAGTGTCTGACAGGAACGAAATGTATTTTTTAGGACCTACCCCGATACTGACTGACCTATCTTTATTTTTGTTTCTTGCATACTGCTAAATACATGAATTGTGAAAATGTTTAGTTCTGTGAGTATTCTCTAAGAAAAACTATTAGTTTTAATAATTAAAAAAACATTGTTGCATAATGTCTTTTATGTTGGAAAATATCTTTCTATTATACTTCTTTTGCATTAACCTTTACAAGAGTGGTTGGCAAAATGTTTTGTTGTTTACAGCTCAGTTGCAGTATCCGTGCCTTTTGGCCCGACTCATCTAATATCAGCAAACCCTTCATTAATCACCTTTTACAACCTGCTTATTACAGGATAGGGGGTCTGTTCTTGATTTCTCCTCAAAATAGGGTCCTGGAAATCTCACAGTGATGTCTGTTTCACCTCAGGTGACGAGAGAACAAATAATTTTCTGCTTTTCATTTCCTCGTCTTCTCTGTCATTTGATTTGATTTGCAAATTAACTAATCAGTGTAAAACCTTTTCTTTTTTTTTAAGTAGAATAAAAAGTTGGTTTTTAAAAATAGATTTTTGGATAAAATTAGGCTTTTATTGGCACCAAACTCTTGACTCAGAATAATTTATTTTTTTCTCATTGCTATTGCTCAACCCTTTTTCAGTTCTGGATGGTAAGTGAAGCTTTCTGCAAATTAATTTACTAGATTCACTATCTTCTGTCTGAAACACTTGAATTTTTGATATCCCAGATATGCTCCTTTGAGCTGTTAGGCTTCCTTAAGCTTCATTTTTTATGGCTTTTTTTCCCCTTAAACAAAAGTCAGACTTTAATAGAAAACATAACTAGCTACAAAATTCTATGTTTACTTCCTCTTCTTCTACCTTGTACCTCAGCAAAGGTTAGGAGATGTAACATTCGTTGATGTGCTCTGTCAATATCACTGTTAAGATTGGTGTTTATTTCTGTAAGGCTGTTCTTTATGCCAATACTCCATCATTTACGAGGTCTTATCATTGCTCTTTTGTAACTAATACTGTCATGTTTACACCGTGCATATTTTTCGTGGTTGCGTTTTTGTCAGTTATTTCCAAGCAACAAATACAAATGTGAAAGTTACAGCTCCAGGAAGTTAAATGTTATAATATACTGAGAAGATTGACAGGATTTAATTTTGTAACATCACTGTCATCGCGGCATTCTGGAAAGTCACTTAGTCCTCTCGCAACCATATTCCTCCCTTTTACTGTTCTTTACCAAATCATTATGATATTCAGTGTGGTTAAAGTAATTCCGTTTAAGAGCAGTACTGTTTACGTGCCAGTCTCTTTCAGTGTTCAGATGCTGTTGAATGTCAGTATTTTTCCTTGTTTTGGTCTTGACAAAAAATATCTAAGAACCCCCCTCAAAGAATCTTCCTGTAACATTGTTCAGAAACTCTGATTTGTCCACTTTAACAAAACAGTACATGTCATAGCATGTTGCAGCAGAAAAATGTATCTTTTCAGAATTTCATATTGTTTGTTGTTGTTAGCACAAGTAGTGGAATTACTGTGGCGCTTCATAGCCGGGGGGGGGGGGGGGGGGGCCTCACCGCCCCTAAAAAACATGTAGTAAAAGACGACTAAAGGCTTGCTGATATTTGATGTTTTGGATCGAAAGGGGCATATATTGCAGTTAGTCATCGTAAACTACAGCACAGAATGGCAGTCTTGCTTTAAAGGGTTGAAGCAGAATAAGAACTACAATAATTTTAACAAAAATGAAACAGAGGTTTTAATTTGCAATACAGAAGAAAAGATGTTTACACAGAAAAAGAAAAAACTTCCTTCACAATGCAGCATCACAATAAATGGGACTGTGTGCTAGTTAAGTATGGTCCAGTGTTTGGTTACATTGATAACAGCTTGTGGAATGTTTATTAAAATAGCTAAATGTAGAATAGCTCAAGCAAAAGCAGCAGTTTTATGGAACAAAGAATATTCTATTATTTGTTTTGTAGATTGAAGTGAGAGAGTTCTGGAGAGTTAAATAGAGCTTATCTAAATCTTTAAAAAAAAAGTAGAGAAACTTTTCACGCTTTCAAACATATTGGGCATAAAGGGTTAGACTTGTATTTTATACGCCAATCAGCACCTCGTGAGTGGTGTGAGCATCATGCTGGTCATCTTTACTTCCATGGGCTCCACCTGGTATTCATATAAGGCTGGGTCAACTGGGTTATCCTAATGTACAGGTGTAAATCGTTGGTACTCAGCAGGTCACTGAAATATGTAGAAGGTGCATAGGTACCATAATATAGAAGCGTGACAACAATGTGGACGAATAGATAGTTGCATGAGGATGTCTTGAAAGAAATTAACACACTAAGAGGGCTGGTTACATTCATCAGAGCTAGACACTGCTACATTCCTTAGACAACTTGTGTCATGACAACAGAAAAGAGAGACATGATTAAAAGCAGTGTCTGTCATGGAGAAGAATCTGTATGATTGACAGTATTAAAAGGTTGCGGACAGACATGACTAACAGCACAGGGCATGGACAGCAGGCAGTAGAGTTAGATATTGTGAGCTAACTTAAACTGGACTGTATAATCACATTCCTTTTTTCTTTGCAGCAAATGCAACAATTTCAAAACACAGTTCAGAGGCAGCAGGCTTTGGCACTGATGTGTAGGTAAGTGATATTGACATGACAAGCAATTTCTTATTGTGTCATGTTTTACTCAATTTCTTTTAATACCATTTTTTAAAATACCCTACTTCTTATACTCTTACTACTTCACATAGTTTTGGGAAATTGTCTTTCATTTGTGTTATCTGTTTTTGAATGGACTTAGTGTTCTTGCTACACATTAATTTTGACTGCTTTGTTCTCTTAATGTTATGTTCATATGAATGTTATAGTCTAGATTTAGGTAATATTCTAAATAAAAAAAAACATAATTGTGAAAAATGTGTTCAGTCAGTTAAGCTTAGAAGAAGAAAATGCTGAACATCCCCAATAATTGTTATGCTCATGGGGCTGTCAGATTTATTTGTAAAGTTAAAAGTTAGTTATATATTGGAAGTGATTGAAACACTTGTTCAATTTTAAAATAACTGTTGATGTCTCGTGGTTGTTAAAACAAATGTGGACACCAGATGTTTAAACTAAGTAAGAATCCCCTACCCCCCCCCCCCCCCCCCCCCCCCCCCCCCCCCCCCCCCCCCCCCCATTTTCCTTTTTTTTTTGTTATGCAGGAATTTAAAAAAAAATAATGTAATTTTTGACTTGATTTGACTTAGTTTATTAAATCTGATGATGAGATATCCTATTGAATCATTTCTTTACAGAGTCTACGTGGGCAGCATCAATTTTGAAATCAAAGAAGATACAATAAAACAAGCATTCCTCCCATTCGGACCTGTGAAATCTGTCAACCTGTCTTGGGATCCTATTACAAACAAACACAAAGGCTTTGCTTTCATTGAATATGAAGTACCAGAAGCAGCTCAGCTGGCATTGGAACAGATGAATGGGGTTATGATCGGTGGGCGGAATATCAAGGTAGCAGACATTGTTTTCCGAGCATCTCAACCATCAAAGACAATTTTACTGTCTTAAATTTATAAAATGTTAATTTGTATTCTGTTTGGGTTTTTTGGGGGCCTCATTGTCTGGGAAATAATAGATCCATTGTCCCCCTAACTAGCATGTTGTAGCGGTTGACTAATTGAGGGCATTCTTTAAAGTTGGGAGTTCATCTGCCTGAGAGGCAAAGAACCAAGTGTCTGCATACAAATAAGTCAGATCTGTAAAACGAATGTGCATGCGACATGCAGGTTCTAAGACAAGGCTGAAGTCCATAGGTTGATGAACCACCAAAATTCACAGCCGTGAACATGAAGAAGATATCATTTGTGAACACTGAAGCCATTTTAAAAAGTTAAATGCCTATCCTTTACAGGACATTGCAGAACAAATCCCAGTGTTTTTTTTTTTTTCGTTTTCTTTCTGTTGTGGATTTTCTAGGCAAATGTTACGTTCAGTGGTTTGTCAATTCTTTCTGAACGGTTAGCTCTTGGTGCCACTGTCGAAACTAACGCAAGACAACCGTCCCCAGCTGGGATTGAACCTGGCATTATGAAGCGCATTCGCAACGCCTAAGCCACAGATGCTGGCTTTCCAAATGTAGTATGTAAATAATAACTGACCAGCTGTTATTGATGGATTCAAGAAATTCATATTTGACTGAAGGAGATTTAAATGTCTGGTTTGACTTGAGCGACATTTTGTAAGTAAAACAATTATGTTTCTGTGAAAATAATGAAGACAAACACTTTACTAGACCAATTAATTATTGTAGGCTTTAGCCAATTCATGTACAGGTGAAAGAATCAAAGTGACGGGTCAGTTTACTTATTTAGATAGCAATTTTGATTGTCAAGGAAGCCAAAGAAATGATGATTTGCCTAGGCAAGGCAACAGCAGTCTTTAAAACCTTGAACAAACTATGGAATTTAGTTATAGTCTTGAAACCAAATTACATATTTTCTCTTTAATTCTTTTTTCTTTAGGTTCATCAAATGCTAATCAAAGTTGAACCACCACTAAAGATGTGCATCAAAATGAATTAAAAAACAACTGATGAATATTAAATTGGTTCAGTTCAAGAAAAATGGAAAGAAGCAGTCAGAACAGCAGTTATAAGACAAAGAAGAAAGTGAAATATTAGGCGCATCCTGGGGAAAACAGGAATAGACCCATTGTGTTCCCAACAAGCATGTCAAAAGAGAAGACTAATTGAGGGCTTCCTTCAAAGTCAGATTGCATCTGCCTCATGGGGCAAGGAGCCAACAGTTTTTCCTACAAATAACGCAGATGTGTAAGAGAGAGATGCATACAACACTCAGGTTCTGGAACAAGACTAAAGTCCATAGGTGGACACGAACAACTAGAACTTTCTGCTGGAGTTGGTGAATAAGAAGAAAAGGATTTCATCCATGATATTGAAACCGTTGCATAAGTTAGAATGGAATATTAAAAGTATGGACTGTGAGCAATGCATCTTATAACGGCACAAAAAGATTATTAGTTTTGCCATTAAGTAATTTATTTGTCCTTAGAATGTGAATAATAATGTATAGTAGCATAATTAAGAATAATTACCAATGAATGTCATGTAAATCAATAGATGCTTATGTTATCAGGTAGGGCGACCTAGCAACATGCCCCAGGCTCAGCCAATCATTGAACAACTGGGACAGGAAGCCAAAAACTACAACCGTATTTATGTCACTTCTATACATTCAGATCTGACGGAAAATGATATCAAAAGGTGTGTAAAATGTTACTGTATATGTTTCTTTTTCTCAGGAGTGTATTTCTTTGGTCGAATTTTTTTCTTTGGTATGCATTCTTTTATTGTAGTTCAGATAAACTGCAGGATTGTTTTTATGTAAGTAATGTATAATATATAATATTAATTACTATAATATACTGCCAAAGTGACTGCATTTTCACTAATTATTAAAGCACAGTTAGGACATTATCATTAAAGAAATGATTTGGACTATGTAAAAGTTAATTCTGGGTGTATTATATTCTGTTGATGTGATCATTTACTAAAGTATCTTAGAATATGGACACAAATTTATTGGATATTAATTATTTTCTACAGTGTGTTTGAGGCTTTTGGGAAAATTGTCAGCTGTGAGTTGGCACAAGATCCAGCAAAACAAGGAAAGCATAAGTAAGTTCAGTCATTTGTATTTTTATGCCTGGTTCTGCAGGGCTTTCTCTCTCTCTCTCCCTCTCTTTTTTTTTTTATAGCGGAAAGCAACAGTACACAGTACTAGCATCTTTCTAGACATCATTTGTTCAGCATTATTGTAATAGACCAGAAATAAGCAACTTCTTTTTTTTTGGGGGGGGGGGGGGGGGGGGGGGGTCAGCAGGATAAATATAGAACTAACAACCTGATAACATTAAGATGTCCTTATAACAAAATATTGTTGAATAATCTAAGATTAAAATCCCTTGTTATATTTTTAGGCCAAACACACTCACCCACTGAAGCACTTATAAATATTCTTAAAGTTGAAAATTTGTGGAAATCATAAAATTGGGAGAAAAGGGGGAACAGGAAAGCGTGGAACGATAACATTATGAGAGAGTGATGAGAGGGAGAAATAAAGTAAGAGATACAGACAGAGCATATGTTGTTGTGTTGTGCAGTTTTGATAGGTGAAGAGTTGGATTATATAGTAATTGTACACCAGCCCCATGGGCCAGTAAATATTGACAGCAGGCTATAGTTTGGAAACTCATGTAATAGACAGGTTGTTGTGAGTAGCGAAGGAAAAGAGAAAAAAATTGGACAAGATCAAAATGTAAACTGGCTAAAGAATAATACCAGATGTAACCGAAGATTTGGAAGCACTTAGTAAAATTTATTTACAAGTTAGTAAGGCAACTGTCACTACTGTCTGTATGTACCTGTCTGTACAGTGTAGACAGGAAATCGTGAACCTGAGGATTAAGGGCTGTTGACATGGACTGTGCAGGTTAGGATATTTAATTTTGCACCGACAGAAAAACTCCCTCGCCTTAATGGGTAATCGAACCCGAGTCTCCCGCATGAGAGCCCTACATTATAATTGCTCGGCCAGCTGCTGCTCCACAACTGTTGTCCGCATAATAATTTTATGACTTTTTGAGCAGGGATTAAAGCTTAGAGCATTTTACAAAACTGTCTCCTGTTGCTAGATCTTGGTACACATGGAGAAGCTTTATATTAGTATAATTGGTTCTTTGCTGTGAATCTTTTAACTAAAAGGAAAGTATGAATCTGGTAACAGAAATAAAAGTAAATTTGCTTCTACTATTTGGGGATGACCAGGAAGAAGATGGATTGAAGGAGTTGCTAGCTTGAGATTCCACCACACACCGACTGGGTAACCAAGTGTGCTGTTTCTTAAAAATCAATCATCTGGTAATCTACGAGGCCCAGCGGCACACAACAGGAAACGGAGAATAGAAGAAACAATTTGTTAAATTTGTTGTTGGTTTTGCTTTAAATTTTTAAAGGTGTAGTTCTGTCAAACAGAACCTCTTCTCTTTCATATATTATTGGTACATGTGATAAATACTTTTTTTTTTTTTGCATCTGTTTGTCAACACAGGGGTTATGGCTTCATTGAATATGAGACACTGCAGGCAGCTTTGGATGCAGTTGCATCAATGAACCTCTTCGATTTGGGTGGCCAGTACCTCAGAGTTGGAAGGGTATGTTGTAAACCGAATGTAGATTTTTCTTCTTTTAATCTTTTTTTTTTTATGTTAGTACCCCTGGTATTTGATCTCTCTGTTTGTCACTGCCTTCCTCTCTTTCTGTGTCTACCTCCATTCTTTCTCTTGCTCTGCCTCTCTCACCCTCTTTTTTCGTCTACATCTCTTTGCTTGCATCTCCTTCTCTGCATGTCCCTTCCATCTCCCTCCCTCTCTTAGTCATCTTTTTCCTCCTCCCGCCTGTCTCTCTCTCCTTCCCTGTCTCCTCATTTGTCCTCAACCTACATGTCCCTCTTTCCCCACTCTTGTATTCCTCTGTGTCTCTACCTCAGCATCAGTGCCTACCTCCCTCACCGCCAACCACCCCTCCCCGCCCTTTTTCAGGTACCAGGTCTATAACAGACAAGATTTCAATTTGCTCCCCTCTGCCACCAAGTCTATAAAAAATGTAAAAATGTTATATCTGTGCTGGTATACCAACATGTGTGCGCACAAATAAAGTACCTTGTGCTGGTATACCCACATGTGTGCGCACAAATAAAGTACCTTGTGTCCGCAGTACACAGCAAAAATACCTTGCCAGTATTACCATGACGCAACCTTAAAAAATAATAATAATGCTTTGAAAAGGACCTTGAGAAGCCTTGAAATTGGTAAATTTAGCTACAAACCCCGGATTAGTAAATGAAACAGCTGAAACAAGCTTAAACAGAAATGAACAGTTAAACAACACATACAGCATTTAAACAATCACATTTTAGAAACAGCACATCCCCATGTGGGTTTTGGTATCATATTTTGAGGAAAACCAAAATAGATTCTCCCAAATCACCATGTCCTAAAATGGTGACAGAGTAGGATTTGCTGAAATCTGATGTGCTGGGTCAAGTGGTGCAGATTTCACAACCTAGTTGTAAACCACAACACAATCTACCAACCGTTTTTTTTGTGTGTGTGTAATCGGGCAGACGTAGAATAAGAAGAAACAACAGGGAAAAAATTTCTTGGTATAAAACATGAATGGCTGGCCAAAAAGTACTATCTATTGCCCATATTGGAAAAATTTACATCATCAGTAGACTTGATGGAAATAACAAAGATTAGCAGATATACCACAGCCACTGATCATATAAACATGATGAAACCTGACAGAACACCTTATTGCAGACATTGCTATTACTGAAATGGAACACAAAGCACACAGCATTTATTCAGACACCTGGAAAATGTATAACAGCTGTCTCAAAGCGATCACAGACTGGTTCTGTTTACCCTTGGACCAGCTTAAACATTGTGTTTCAGGAGTATACTGTAACAATGAGCTAAACTATAATAATAGTTAACCTTTCATAGGACTGTTTCATCTTCTTGTTTTCAGGCTATTACACCACCTGATACAGCTTTTGCTCCATCAATTCCACCTTCAGCCATGCCAGCAGCATCAGCAGTTGCTGCTGCAGCAATCACAGCAAAACTCACAGCCCTGGATGCTCAACAGCAAGTTTTGGTAAGTATTCTTAAATTTGTAATGTAAATTAATCCTCATAGGGGATTTTTGCTCAGTGGTTGTGTAGCAGCAGGACATTACATAAACTAATAGGACATTTTATGTGGTGAGGTGGGCAGCTCTTTTCTCTGGCTGGTATATATGTAACAGACTGATTTACAAGGCTAGGTTTATGTGAGAAATATTTTATTTCATTGTTACAGTAAAAAGTTTTCTTATACTCGATTGCATCTAGCTTTTTTTTTCCTAAAGTCAAATTAAACTGGACATTTTTGGGGTTGGAAAATACCCTGGATTTTTAACGCGAGAAACAACATTACAGTCGAACATTTATAAGAGAGAAATTGTGTTCTTTGGTTGTGAGGCTCGAGGTGACATTGAAGAATCAAAGTGACTGGACAGATCAATGGCAGCAGAAGCTGACCTAGATAAGTGGACATAAAAAAACCTCTACTGGAACTGATCCTGAACACAAGGATGGTTCAGTAAAGAGACAAGAAAAGCTTTGCCCTTTAGCATTGCATGGGATGATAATAACCATACTGTTACTTATCTGATCTTTCCGGTTAAAATCGACGCTAGGCAGCGGCGCTGTTCGGAGCAGAGGCAAATTTTTTTGCTTCTGCCGGACGGTGGCCGATGCATTTTTGCTCCATTTGCAGACTGGAAATAGTTTTGTCATCCAGCTTCTGAGTTGAATGCATGGCGTGAGCTGCGGATTGCATTTGGAATGTTTTTTCGACTGACCAACGTTGTGTGAATTGTAGATTCCGAAAATGGCGCGATGCCTGTCATGCAATGTTGGCGGTGCCAGTATGTGATTAAAATTGATCGCGTGGGAAACTGCTGATATGTTGGCGACAAGTTCTGCTATCATCAATGATGAACTGCATTTCTAATGTTGGACTGTTTGTGTTAGCACTTCGGATGGCTGCCGTATGCTTTAATGTGAGTGTATGCTAGATATGCTGAGACAGCAGTCTGTCAATCTTTCCACAAGGGACTGTGATAAACAATCTGGGTGTTTTTCGTTGGCACAGGAGCGGAGCAATGATGGGGCGACCCGTTTGCTATGAAGCTGAAACTAAGACACCAGACTGTTACTTATGTAAATAAGAAAATCAGGCACATGGTATGATTATATATTTGAAAGAAGTAGCCTGCAAGTATGTTTACAGATGCTGTTACATTTTTATTTACCTTCTGCTTTGACAGCCTCCACCAGGTCTTGCCCTGCCAACATTAGGTGGAACCAGCACAGTCATCAAAGCACCATCTGTCCTCGGTGCAATCAGTACCAACGTAGTCTTGCCTCCAATGGCCCCTGCCCATCCATCCATGCCCAAGCCGCCCACGGCACCCCCAGTTCCCCTGATGTCCCTGCAGACATCCCCAGTTTTACCCATTCTTCCAGCTGCCAACCCTCCTGCCATTGGTCTCACATCACTGCCACTGGGAGTAGGAGCAACCCAGAATACTGGTAGGTGTCTTTTTTTGTTTGTTAAAACTGTAATGTTAATAATTTTGCTCATGCGGTTCAAATAGCCTTTCTTCTTCCCTTTATCTCACAGTGGAGCATAGACCCTCAACCGTCATGCTAAGTTATCCTATCCTTTGCTTTGTGTGTAGCTCACCCCATGTTCTTCCCATCTTTCTAACTTTATTCTCTAGCTTCCTTTGGGGGGGGGGGGGGGGGGGGGTGTCTGCCTTTATTTCAGTGCTTCTGTGGGTTCCTGTGTAAAGACATTCTAGTTACATTGTTCTCATGTTTACTTAGCATATGTCTTATTCAACATCCGAGTCTTTTCTTCATCCTTTGATTTACTGGACTTCATTCACTTCTTCTCTCCCAAAACACTGTTAAGCGTTTCAATCATAGCATTTAATTGGTGATATCATACATATGATATGTTTTTATTGTCAACTATATATCCAAGAGAAGATATGATAGCAACTACCTAGAGTTTAAAAAAATGTTAATGTGTTATGTGCTTTTGATGTTATGATATCTTGTAATCACATGGTATGGTTTCATTTAATTAGGAATCTAGATCAAGTGAATGTACACAATATTTTGGAAGTTTTATGCTAAGCCTGAATTAACACAAAAGAGATAATGTCATTTATGAGGGGGTGTTTGTATCTTGGATGACTATGTAAGGCAGTGAACGAAGAAGAAAAAATTTCACAAAGATCCATGGTGATTTATCCTTGAACTAAATGTATGTACAAGTGTGTGTATCAGGTAGCACCATTGAGGCAAGTTTGTCTTTATCTGCTTGCGACATTGGTGGCGAGAATAGGTGTGGATGACTACAGGAAGTAGCCTAACAGAACAAATATCAGACATGATTGCTTACATTCATTGCTTATGCATGTCTGTTCTGGAGCCAAAATTTTTTTTTGGGGTGGGGGGGGGGGGGGGGGGGGGGTGTAAAAATGGCACTTTGCCCTCTAACAAGCATGTCGTATAAGGCCACTAATCAGTCGGCATACAAATCAGCCAGATCTGTGAAATGAATGGGCACCCAAAACTCAAGTTTTGGAATAAAACCAAAAGTCCAGAAGTGGACGGACAGCCAGAACTTTCCGGCAGAGTTTACAGCTGGTGAACATTAAGAAGCAGAAGATATCAATTTGCCAACAACATGTGGTCAGAATGTTCATTTGTATTTGTGTGCCTTTATCTGCTGTTGAGCTTGTCCATTGTGTTAAGTTACTTCTTGCTGGGAAAATAACACATCTGGGATAGGGCTTTAAAATAGTATTAGAATGTAGTGTATGTAAATGGAACCATACCTGAACATATACTATGTCAATTACCTCAGCCTTAGCAGCAGCTGTAGTCTCCGCAATGGCTTTCAAGAAAGATCCTGCAACCAGTCAGTTTTCTCTGCTACCAGGAATGCCAAGCATAACCACTTTAGGCCTGAGCAACTCAATGTCCACCGCACATGCAGCAGATAAAGATGAAGACAAGTCAGGCCAGGATGAGCTTCCACAAACACTGGAGCAGCAAGAGAGCATGGAGATCAGTGGCAGCAGCGCAAGGCACATGGTCATGCAGAAGTTGATGCGGAAATCTGAGGTAGCTTTCTGTGTATTTTGTTCCTTCTTCTGCTTGAACATTTGTCTTGTTTTTTCCTTCCCATTGAATTATTGGTTATTTATCTTCAGTTCCTTATAGAACAGTATTTCTTAAACTTTAGTCTCATCTTTGCAGCTATTGTTTTCATGCTATTGCTACCAAGTTGTCCACTCTTGTCAGCTATTTCGCATTCAGCAGCACAGCTTATTCTAATTCTTTACCAGGTAATTTGTTCTGTAATGGTAATCCATCTCTGACATATAAAGAGCTATTTTTATATTATTTTTAGCAGCAGTTCTAAACCTTTGAGTCGCCAACCTTTTTTTTTTTTTTGTGTCACAACCCTTTCACAGGGGTTGCCTAAGACCATTGGAAAACACATATTCATTGAAGCTACGCAGTAGCAACAAAAATAATTGTATGGTTGGGAGTTGTAACAACAAAAGGAACTGTATTCAAGGGTTATTGCATTAGGAAGTTTTAGAACCACTGGATACAGGTTCAATTTACAATTGTTTGGTTAAATTGCTCTTTCTAGCCCTGGCACTTACTGCATTAATCTAATTGAATCAACCTACAGCTTGTACTCCTGTCCTGAACATTATTTCTGCACGAACGCTTCTTTACCATGGAAAGCTACATTAATCTCTCAGTCCTCATCCTTGCCTTCACTCCAGTCCCAAACACTTGGTCACTGCATTAATCTCTGTCCTCATCGTTGCCTTCACTCCCGTCCCAGACACTTGGTCACTACATAAACCTCTGTCCTCATCCTTGCCTTCACTCCAGACACTTGGTCACTACATTAACCTCTCAGTCCTCATCGTTGCCTTCACTCCAGTCCTAGACACTTGGTCACTTCATTAACCTCTCAGTCCTCATTGTTGCCTCCACTCCAGTCCCAGACACTTGGTCACTACATTAACCTCTCCTTACTAATCATTGGCCTGCACTCCTATTTTACTCAGGAGCTTTATTGACACACACTTTTCCAATTGTCTTCTTCAGCTCTGTTTTTTTTTTAAAATTTTTATGGATATTACTTTAATTCCTCTTGAATCAGGTTTATTTTAAAATTGTAATTGCCTCACACACAAAGAATTATATATTTTTTTTAAATTTGTACCGATAGTTATATTTCCTGAACATATGTGATATTCTTCAGGTAAAAGCAACAGGTGCCTAGAAGTGTACAATGTTATCTGTTGTTAAATACTGGTTTAAACATCTTTCATAGATCTAATAGTTTGATAATTGTACATCTAGTGTCGAGTCATGGTCTTGAGAAACATGGTTGGCCCAGAAGACTTGGACGACGAGCTGGAGAGTGAAGTTACCGACGAATGTGGGAAATTTGGCATAGTTAACCGAGTGATCATTTACCAGGAGAGACAGAGTGAGGAAGAGGATGCTGAAGTTATAGTCAAGATCTTTGTGGAGTTTTCAACACAAGAAGGTGAGACATATTTCATGATTTCTTTATCTCAATGTTTCCACAACTTTTTATTTGATTTATTATGGTAATTTAATAGAACATAAATTAGGGTAATGTCGTAAAATATCAGAAAAAATCTACAACAGTATTATATGTCTATAGTCAGAGCAAGAATCAGAACATTGTGTCTGCCTCCACATACCTGAAGCAGAAAAAGGCAACAGAATTAAGTAGAATAAATATTTTGTAAACAGAAATGAGGCCTGTGGCACTTTTCCAGTATTTTTATGGTGTTTTGAAAAATTGTATAAAAGACGTAAATTCACTGTTGTTTTTTTGTTTTCTTTCTAGGTGGCAGACATAAAACCTTCTGGCACTTTAATTTTTTTCCCTTTTGTTTTCCCCCGTACATTTTTACATAGTCGTATTGACTTTCAAACACCCTATGGAACAAATTTGTTTGTAGGGGATGAGATTATTTCATTGATATGTTTTGAACGGCTAAGTATTTGTGGCTAGTTGAAACCTACTTCCATTAGAGTAGTTAAGCAAAACATACTTTTCAGGTCTGCTGTTGAACTCTCCAGGCGGTAAATGCAAAATGTGGGTGCTTATCATCTACCATCAGCTTGAGAAATATCTTGGACTTGCAGTCTCATAGCATGCAAAATTTGGGTCCTCAGCAACTTGGTTATAGCAGAACTCATTCAGTGCCTTCCCCTGCCCTCTCTCCCACCCAACTCTTTTGTTAGCTAGACTAGTTTCTGCCCAGGATTTTCTCATGAAAAGAGATCTGGTCTGAATCCTGATCCTGGGACAACAGCTGGCTCCCAGATCAAAGTAGTCTTAAATGGGTACTATGTTAAGTCCTAGGAAACAAAGTGCCAGGCGTGATGTTGACCACAAAACTCATCAAAACTGCCGGTAGGTCTAAAAATGTGAAAAAGGTCCTTGTACTTTACTTTTTTTTAAATTTTTTTTTTTTAAAACCTAATTCTGTGATGACAGTGTCTTGCATGCTCAACTGACTTTTAAAAATAGCAGTGGCTGTTAACCATATTTCAATACTGTACAGGTCAGAGTTGTTTTGCAATGACAATCTGGGCTGCGGACAATTTGTCTTGCCTTGGTTTCGACTGTGGTACTAAGAGCCGACTGTTTGGGTGCAGTGGCAAACTACTGAATGTACAATTTGCTTAGAAAAATTACAAAAGCCAAAAAAAAACCTGGGGTTGGCTCTGCTGTGTCCTGTAAAAGATACACAATTAACTTAATGGCATAGTTTAAAAAAAACATTACCTTGCTCACGGGTTGATCTGGCCTAAACGGGGTATTGTGTTTTTAGTAGGGTTCTCCAGCTTTTACTGGCATAGGTTAACTTTGAAGTGACATTAGAATTGATAATACATAGCTAGGTTTTTAAATGACAGTTTGGAGTGCCATATTTGATCATGACTATACTTGCTTGTATTACATTTTTATGTTTGAATATTTGTTGTTTCAGAGGTGGAGAAAGCCTGCAGTTCTCTTAATGCCAGATTTTTTGGAGGACGAGTTGTGACAGCTGAAAAATATGACCAGGATATGTATGATGCTAATGATTTGTCAGGCTGAGACTGAGTGACTGTTTGTGTGTGTGTGTGTGTGTGCTGCCTGAGTGAGTCAGTGGAAAAGTGAACCTGAGTTTGTGTGTCGGACTGTTTTCATGACATTTTTAACATCTTCATGGGTGCTGCATTTGTTTGTCTTTCGCATACGTGCTGTTGAAATGGTTTTCCATACGCGATTTTATGAATATTAGAAGCTTGTTTCATAACACCGTGATCAGTGTTTGTACATATACATTGAAGCTGAATATGTTGTCATGTGCTACGGAATGATAGTGGTCATTTTAAATAGAAATCCCTGATTTGTCTTTGTTCTAGCAGATGTATTGCCTTTCTTTTTCTTATGAACCTGTGCATTTGCCAGCTACAGCCTGCCTTTCCTGTGGCATGCTCTGCAGTGTGTTTCTTAGATTTTATGTGTTTTTAATGAGCAGCCATCAGGCCTGGGAGAAAACGGTCTAGTATTTTATAACGTACTTTGAAAGTAATGTTCAGATATGACAGAAAGCAGATAGGAATATATTGCATATCACTGGAATAGTTAGCCATTTATAATATTCTTTTGCTGTCAAGAAAGCAGACAAGCTCAGAAACATTCATGGCCCTTGGACATGTAAATTTAAGGAAAATATCAAAATTGCCACCAGTGGTTAGTAAATCACATGAGGCAGTCCACAAAGAAACACGTGAAAGCCCTAAACTGCTTAAAGAAATTAGACACAGGAGAAATACATTCGAAAGCTTATTGGCAGCCGGCAGATTTTCTTCTTCTGAACCTTCTATCCTCCAGTGGAGCTTAGGTCCTCAACCAACTCACCGTAAATCATATCCTTTGCTATTGTGTGCAGCTCACCCCATGTCCTCCCCATCTGTTAAATTTCACTCTTGAATTCATTTCAGACAAATTGGTACGTCTTATCTGGATGAAAAGCCAAAGTAAAATGAACTTTTTTCTGGCCAGTGGTGTGAAGCTATGCTCGTTTTTGTAGGCCAGTTGGCATTCATGGGTGATGTGGTTAATACCTTGCTTTCCTAAAATAATGCCTAGTGCCTCCTCATTACTGTAACCCTCACATATCACGACCTCTAGTTTGAGAATGGCAGTCGAAGCGGCCACTGCTGCCTTCCACTGGCTTGAGAATCAGCTGTACACATATGCTGTGATTGTAACAGACTTACAGAGCATGTTGAGAAAGGTGGAGACAGGCATGCTCTGTGCAGAGTGGCAAGCATCACTTCAGAGGTTCCGGGTAGTTAGCATCCTTTGGATATTTTCCCTAGGTTATGCCAGTGTGTTGGGAAATGAGGAAGCAGATTGACTGCTAGCTCTGCACCACATGGTGGTGAATTGATGTATGACATGCTAGATGTTGTGAGGGCCCCTTGGCAGCAGGTGAACAGTGCTCAGGTACAGACAGATCATTATAGTCTGAGGAGAATGTCGCTGCACGGGGATCTGGTCCACACTCAAGTGAAGGGTGAGACGGATATACGATCAGGCAGTTACTGATGCCATTGGAATTAATTGAAACTCTCCGCTTGCTGCTGAAGATGGTGAAGGAGCGGTTATGGAGGTGCCCCGAGTGCTGTAATGTCAATTCTTAATTCAACATTTACATATCTGGATGGATTGAGCATGGCCAGAACACAGAGAACCTAATCCATTGTTTGAGTGTTTTTGTGAGATGGCGACTGTGACCACATATGACTGCATGGCATGTAATGATGATAAGAAAGTAAAAGAGTATTACGGTAATTACTTAATAGCTTTTAGTTATTGAGGTAATTACTGAATTAGCTTTGAATCAGTTTTGTACACAGTAAACGTTATTGTTAATAAAAACGTTAAATTACTGAAATAAGAAATATTCATTGAGTGTGCCATGATTAATTCATCAAACATTCAGACATTATCTGAAGGTTTGTAGTCTCTTCCCCCCCCCCCCCCCCCCCCCATATAAGGTGTTTTCTATACCTTTTTGTTGTTTCTTCATCCATCATAGTCTGTGTATATTCAACATGGTTAGTGAAATCATTACTTGCAACAGGGCTATTCAACTAAGTTGACTCAGGGGTCAGAATGTTCCAAAATAGGGTTTGTCATGGGCCAGAAACCCCAGCATAGAAAGACTATAAATACAATACAACTGGTAGTGTTCCGTTGGCCCCTTGGCCCGCCGGCTGCCAGTTGAATAGTCCTGACCTACATGATAATAAATTTTAGGTGTCTTAGAGCATCCTCTGTCAGACTTTTCAGGGAGCGCTTGTGTCTGTCTGCCTGATCGGCTGAATACTCTCTGAAGAGACTGACTGAAAGTATCATAGTATGAATGGTTAACATGGCTTGTGGAATCATTACGTGTGTGAAAGAAATCTGCATTCTTAGAACATCATCTCTGGAGAGTCATCGTAGCAGGGAGCACTTTTGTGGTTGATCGGCTGAATACTCTCTGAAGAGACTGACTGTAAGTATCATCGTGTGTATGGTTAACATGACTGGTAAAATCATTACATGTGTGAACTAAATCTACATTCTTAGAACATCATCTCTGGAGAGTCATCGTAGCAGGGAGCACTTTTGTGGTTGATTGGCTGAGTTGTTTCTTTGAGATACAGAATATCTGATCATTGTGTTCATGCAAGGCATTTGGCGGGTGTGTATAGTGTGTGTGCCCAATAGTTTGCTGTAATATACCTGTGGCTATCAATCATGGGAATCTGTTGCTGCAGTGATGCCTGTTGTTGCTGTAAATTGTTTTCACAAGCATTAAAATTCAAATGTAAAATAAAAAGCTAGGGTTAGTGATGTTTGTTTAATTGTGAGGAGATAACCTTTCTCTTGTTTTTTGTAATAAACCTGACAGAATTAGAAGAGTATATGGTGTGACAGACAGCTAACACGGGAAGGGGGGGGGGGGGGGGGGGGGGGGGGGGCTAAACAAAAGTGAGTTGTGAAGGCTTATCAAAATACTAGAACAGTTGAACAATGATCTGACAAAAAATAATAAACATTCATTAACAGCAAACTATCCATAGAAACCAACTTATCAGGAATATTTAATGTTTAAGTTACCGTACACTTATCTGTACTGCCTGATGACTTGTTTTCAATATGTACACCAAGAAAGAAATAATAAGATCGATTCGGTTTTGAGTTCTGCAAAGACAGCGATGCAACTAAACTTTGGTTTCTTGCAGATTGAAGGACAGTGAAATAAACCACGCAGTTTGCTTCATTGGGAGCTGCCATGGTGTAGGAGCTAGACACTAGCCTGTGGATCCAGTGGAGGGTTTGGGTTTAGGTGCTGACAGAGCTAGACTTTAAAAAAATGACATTGGCCCCAGCCTGAAAGGATACATGGTAAAGTCCTGGGAAGTAAAGGTAGTCGGCCTGATGTTGACCACATCACACACCAAGTGCTGATTGGTCCATCAAATATAGGTCTATCCCTGTGTGCCCAGTATGCCTAAGTTGTGAAGGAGGGTCCTTTGTTAAATGGTATGTGGAAGGGTATCACGAAAGAAAGTCCCCAGTTCTGACAGATTTCAAATAGAAATACAAATGTGTACACTAATTGATAAGAATTATCACACACAACTGAAATGGTGAATATAGCTTTAAAAGGCACTGGAAGAAGGAATTGTAAGTTCAGTCCAAATCAGACACATAATGAGGCAAGGTGATGTCACCAGGATTTCAATGCCTAATCTCAAGATGTTTAGTAAGCTTCGGAATAAAAGGACAAAGTAAATAGAACACTTGTCCCATCAAGTTTGTCGATGATCCAGCCATCAAAGAGGGAAAAAATGATTACAGCTGCTCACCAAAGGTGGCTTAAAATTTGACGTGAAAATAAATTGATGACATAACGGCGATGGTGTCTGCCAAACAAACCTAGAAGATAACGCACTGCACTATAAGTAAAGATAGTTGATATAAGTACAGCAATGCCCGTATTCGGGCTACAAAATTAAAGATTCTCTATTTAAAAAATGAAAGAACAAAAGATTTCAGTAGTCAAAACCACATTTCGAAGGACATATATCTAACATGAATGATTAAATTAGTTGCGTATCCTTACAGGACGTTGCAAAAGCAACCCCAGCACATTCTGGCTGTTGTGGTTTTTCTAGGCAAATTTACGTCCAGTGGTTTGCCATTGTTCTATAAACTGTGGGCTCTTAGTACCACTTTCGAAACCAGCGCAAGACACACCGTCCGCAGCAGGGATCGAACCCGGCATAACGAAGCCCGTTCCCAACGCCTAAGCCACAGAAGACGACTAGATGAATCGGAATCAGAACTGAATTTCAACGTTCATATCTAGCCCACAGCACTATAGGCTTCTGAAAACATTGCCTCCAAAGAAAGTTACAGTAAAACCTCCTGAACTTAAATTCGCTTAAGAACACTCGGTTAACGTGAACAAAACTGTTGATGCATTATTGCTATTAGTCCCCGGGTATGGCGAATTTTAAAACACGAACTTGATACATACACACACACACACACACACACATATATATATATATATATATATATATATATATATATATATATATATATATATATATATATATATATATGGGACTGAGCCTCGAGAGGCAGGGGGTAAGAAGTGTTGGTGTTGTGGGTAGTGGGGTCCCCCCCCCCCCCCCCCCCCCCCCCCCCTTACTTCACCCTAGGTCTAGTGAATATCTGTTCACGAAAGGAGCGTCCATTGTGGTGTCAGCCTCTTGACCTAGCAAAACCTCTCTTACCTCAAGACCATTGTGCGTGGCGAAGAGTCACAGCCTCCCCGAGGTAGTCCCGGTAACTGGGGGTGCGAATCCCCAGGCAAAACACAATGGATCTAGAGGAGCAAAACTCGATAATAAACCCGGTGCACCACACCGTACTGCCCCCTGTGGGAGGGAAGGAGCCAGAGGTGTGCTGAACAGTCTTAGGAATGGAAACAAGTATGCTAACCCCCCTGAATACCGGAAACTATCGTGAAGGCACAGGGA